GGGGGGGGGGGGGGGGGGCAGCTCTCGGGCGGCAGCTGCTGGGGCGGCGGCTGCTGGGGCGGCGGCTGCTGGGGCGGCGGCTGCTGGGGCGGCTGCTGCTATGGCGGCGGCTGCTATGGCGGCGGCTGCTGGGTCGGCGGCCGCTGGGGTCGGCGGCTAGATCGCACTCGTCTTGGCTGCTGCGTCTCGGCGGTCTCTCGGCGGTCTCTCGCACGTTGACAAAGACCCCTGCCGAGTCGACAAACTGGGTGAAGAACCGTACGGAGGCCGGGTCGGCGGTGACGATGGCGTCGGTGTGGTGCGACGAGTGCGAGTTGATGTGTCCGACGGCCTGGGGGGCGGAGGGCAAGGGCAAGGAGGCTCGCGTGGCGAGGGAAAGGAGGAGTGAGAAGGCAGCTCCCCCCCTCGGGGAGTCTGACGCAGCCGCGCCTCGACCACGTCCGCCACGACCTTGACCGCCATGGTGAGGCCTGCAGGAAGGGAGCGAGGAGGGTCCGAGGAGGGCCCCAGGCGGGGTCGGCTGCCGGGGGGGCGAGGCCTCCAAACTCGGTGCGGTAGTCCGCCTGCGAGGAGAAGAGAGGGGGGGGGGGGGGGGGGGAGGTGCGCGGAGGTCTCGCACCCTCCGCCGCAAAGGCGGGCGGGAAGCACCTCGCTCGCTCTGACGACTCCGCCCGCCGGCAGCCCCGCAGCGGCGAGAGCCTCGCTCGACCTCGTGTCGCACTTGAGGGTGACGCCTGCGGGTGGCCAGCCGCGGGGGCAAGTCGCTCTTTGGCTTCGGCGTCGGCAGAGGTGCGGGAGGGGTGTGTGTGAGAGGAGTGTGTGAGAGGAGTGTGTGAGAGGTGTGAGAGAGGTGTGAGAGAGAGGTGTGAGAGAGGTGCGAGAGAGAGGTGTGAGAGAGAGGTATGAGAGAGGTGTGAGAGAGAGGTGCGAGAGAGGCGTGAGAGAGGCGTGCGAGGGGCGTGAGGGGTGTGTGCGCCGCCCCCGCCGCCGCCTCGCGCCTGCGGCGATCAGCTCCTGCGCCACCCCCCTCCACGTGGGCGAGGAGAGGAGCGAGGCGTGCAGCAGCAGCGTCTCTGCCGCGTTGCACGCGACGGGGTAGTCCGTCTTGGCGTCGAGCACGACGCGCCGCGCAGTCGCCTGTGCCAACGGCTCGGAGAAGGGTGCGGGAAGGGTGCGGGAAGGGTGCGGGAAGGGTGCGGGAAGGGTGCGGGAAGGTCCGAAGAGGGTGCCCGAGAGAGCATGTGCAGGCGGCGCCTCGTCTGCCGGTGGCGCCGCCCTCGAGGTGTCTAGGAGCGTGTCCAGGGGGTGTCTAGGAGGTGTCTAGAGGAGGTGTCTCGGAAGTGTCCAGGAGGTGTCTCGGAAGTGTCTGGAGCGGAGCCTCGTCTGCGGTAGCGTCGAGGTAGACGGCGCAGATGCCGTCGGCGTGGCCGAGGACCGGGATCCTATCAAGTACTCATCGCTCGTTGTGAGTGAAGCATCACCTCCCTCTCCCCCCCACCTCCCCCACCCACTAGCTCCTCGTGTTGTTGATGATGTGTGACACGAGAGCGTTCGAGCCGCGAGGCACGATGAGGTCGACCTTGCCGTGCATCCCGAGCAGCGCAGAGACCTCGTCACGCGAGGCGACGAGCTGCACCGCCGCGCTCGGCACCGCGCCTCCGCCGTCCGCCTCGGCGGAGCGACCCGACTCGGCCTCGGCAGCGGCCAGGCCGGCTTGGATGGCGGACACTATCGCGGCGTTGGTGTGGGCCGCCTCCTTGCCGCCCTTGAGGATGAGCGCGTTCGCCGACTTGATCGCGAGCGCCGAGATCTGGACCGCCGCGTCCGGGCGCGACTCGAAGATGACGGCCACCACGCCGATCGGGCACGCCACCCGGTAGAGGTCGAGGCCGTCGTCGAGCCGCGTCGCGAGTTGCACCGCACCGACCGGGTCGGCGACGGCGCGCACCTCGTCGAGCTTCGCAAGCATCGCGTCAAACTTCTTGCCGCGCACCTCCAGCCGGCGCAGCAGCGGCGCGTCTAACTGCGCCTTTGTGGCCGCCGCGATGTCGAGCGCGTTCGCGGCCTCGATGACGGCGCGCTGGTTCTCGAGCTGCTTTCGGACGGCAGCGAGCGCCGTGTCACGCGCCGCCGCGTCGAGCCCACCCATGGTCAGGGCGGCGCGCCGCGCGTCCGACGCGACCGCGTCGAGTCGCGAGCCTTGGTTGCTGGAGCTCATTCAGCCGCTAGCAAGAGTGTGGACTCCAAAAAAATAGACCCTCGCTTCACGGCGCTTTCCCTGCGAACTGTGCCGTCCTCCCATCCCTCCCTTGGGTTGTCTGTTTTCTTTCTTTCTTTCTTTTCCCTGCGAACGCGCACCCCCTGGGCTAGGGCTCTCCTGCCCGTAACCCGATGCCAATCATCCGGCGGCCCGCTGGGTGCGCTTCTGAGCTCCCTGGCCCTGGATGTGCGGTTAATGACTGCACTCCAAGTGCTCCAAGTGTGCCGCGCAGCTATGAACAGGAGCGAGTCCGCGCTGCGCTAGGCTCAGACGGCGAAAAAAGAATTCTTTTTTATAGTGCCCTGTACTACATGTTTACACCCACGGCGCCCCGCTCGAGGCGGAGGCGGTGCCAACGGGAACGGGAAGCGGCGTCGACGGCGTCTGCGAGGGAAGGTTAGGCTTGGCGTGGAAGCGCGAAAACAGAAAGTCGATCTCGAACGGGCCGGGGACCTGAGTGGGAGGAGAAGCCGGCGTGAGTGAGCTCTTCTCCCGCCGCACAGGCCGCCTTCTCCGGACCGGGCGTGGGGGCAGGGGACGGCACCTCGTAGAATGAGGCCTGGCCCTCGATTGCGCCCTCGCCCATCGCGGACGTGGTGAACTCGCCGTCGTCGGGGTAGACGTCAGTCTTGCCGTTTCTTGGCTCCGGGGAGGAGAAGGACTGGCCAAAGATGCCTACAGGAGCTCGCGCGAGCGTTCGACTCCGCGCGGGACGGCCGAGGCCTCGCTGTCAGCAAGTAGTCGCCATGAGGCAGATTCCGCTGCACATAGTCGCCGCGCAGCGTGAAGCTGACATCTAGGCGGTGCTCGGGGCCCTTGCGTGCCTGAGTCGGCGCGCCGGCGACCTCGACGGTCAGATTGCCGGCGGTGAAGGACGCGCGCGACATGTCGACCTTGATCATGAGCTGCTCGCAGCCCTTCTGCCCGCCCTTACCCAGCTTAAAGCGGTGTCCGCCGCAGGTCCCGGTCACCACGTCCCATCCCCAGTTATTCTCCCCCAGACTCGACGCCCAAAAGGAGACGTTGGCCCACTTGCGCTTGGAGCCACCCACGAGGGCCACCAGGTGCATCTCGGTCACAAAGCTCCCGTGCACGATGAGCGGCGCACTGCCGTCCAGCTTCCGGTCGAGCGGGAAGGTCGCATTCTCCGTCTTGAGATTGACGGCGAGGCCGGGCGCCGAGAAGAAGGTGTAGATTTGGCCGTGCCGGCCCCTGAAATCGGCGCGTCCGCCGTGCGCAAAATGCAGATGCGGGTCCTGTTCGACGCCAACGAAGGCGTCGACGGAACTGACGTTCACCGCAGCGACCGTGAAGCCTGCAGCTCCTCCGGTAATGCCTGGGTAGCACATCTCGTCGTCAATCTCTACGTCTGCGCTGCCAGTTCGGGCGCCAACGTAGAAGAGCTGGTGTTCGAGCGCTGTCTTGCTCGAGCCGCTGATAAGTCGCTGATAGGGCGCCTCTGCGCGCGCGACGCTAGAGATCGTGACCAGACACCTTGAGCACTTCTTGTAATCGGTGCAGTCGAGGGGTATGTCCGGTCCCTGATCGGGATTGCCCGCAAGAGTGCCGGCAACGGTGCGGAAGCTGTCGATTGCCACCTGCGGAGGGCGTGCTACAGTGCTGAGCCGTTGACGATACACTATCTAGTGGATGCAAGCGGCCACCGGCAGCTGGCCCAGGGGCAAGTCGTTGGTTAGTCTGATCACGCCGCAGCTGGTCTGGTTGACGCAGTGCTCCGACGCCTCGAGGGCAAAGGAGGCGCCGGAGCCGTCGATTTCCTTGAAGCTCTGATACTCGAGCAGTCCGACAAAGTTCTCGGGCGTCAGTGCTGAAGTCATGGCCTGGATCGAGCCGGCGTAGGCTGGCGTGAGTCCCTCGGCTCGGCCAGTCTATCAGGGAATGCGATTTGGCCCGCCCTCCCCCTCCTGGGCGCGCTAGTATCCTGGAGAAAGACGACCATCTGCGAGTCCTTCAGGAGTTGAGCGTGGACAGGTTCTGCAGGCACGCATGACGTCGCGCTAAGATCGCTTGGATTGTCGTGCCAACAAGCTCTGGGGCGAAACGATAGGTTTTCGAGGCAAACATCCATGTTCACCTATTCGACGATGATGCGCGTGCAGTGCCTCTACGCTGGAGGTGCTGAATCTTCGCTGCGGTCTATCTCGCCGTGTCGCCAATCTCGATTTGATTGGGGTTGCAATCATTCTCCCCCGGGCACATATGGACGACCAGGGCAGCAGAGGCTGAGCAGACGGTCCTCACATTTGCCACGGTCGGGTCATCAGAGAGCAGCAGCGCAGGCGAGTTTGCTGCAGCATACGACATCATGGGGTTCGCCGGCAGGTACAAGGGCTGTGTCATGACGGATCCGGCGGGCGGCCCGTACAAGGGCTGCGTCATGGCGGTACCAGCCCGCGCCTGCGGTTCTGCCTCTGCTCGTACTAGTGCTTGTTCGGCCGTATAATAGTTGCTGACGAATGATGAGTCACGCGGGAAAGAAGAGGCGCGCGGCCACACAGCACGTAGAGCAATACACTCGAGGGGCCAAAAAATACGCCGCGAGGAGGGCGGAGTTGCGCCGAGAGGCGGGAGAAGCCGCGAGAGCAAGGGAGGGGGATCGGCAGGCGGCGGCGGCGTGCATCGCAGAACGAGGCAGAGAAGAGCGACGCGACAGCGAGGATGAAGCGACAGGAGAGAGAACTACGAGAGTGGGACGACAGCGAGGTGGCATGAAAGGTTGCGCTGCTGGAGCACGCTGGGCGTGGTTCTGTTGGCGGTGTCCCATTTCCCAGTGGTGGGAGTATTGGGTGAGGGAAAGGGATGCGCGTCCCTGCGTCGATGTCTCACATCTCACATGCTCACAAGTCAAACTTGGACATGCACATATGCACATGCAGTTGGACATGGATGGACACATGGACATTGTCCATGTGAAAGATGTGTCCAACACCAGTCATGCCGATCTCGCGCGCGCGGGGCTCTTCGCGACTCTCTTGTCTCTCGCGTCACAACGGCCCGTTGGTTGACAACGCGTCCTCTCGTCGACGTCGTCGTCACGCACTCTGCGCGAGAATTTGTAGTAACAACCAATAGAAGCTAACAGTGTGGGGAACAGCAAGCCCGGTCACTTGCTCTTGGCGGCCGTCCTCTTCCGCGCCTTAATCTGTGCCAGCTGCGACGGCGCCAGGCTCGCCGTCTGGCCGCGCGCCTTCGCCTTGACGCCCTTCTTGTTTGCCTCGCCCGCCTTGCCCTTCTTCGACGCGCCGCCCTTTCGCTGCTTGCCGATGCCGCCCTTGGCGCGCGCCTTCGCCTTGGCGCCCGCCGCGATCTTGTGCTGGAGCCGCAGTGCCGCCGCTTGCTTGTTCTTCCAATCCACGCCGCCGCCGCCGCCGCCCCGGCCGCCCTTGGCCGCTCGCTGCGCGGCGCTCGCCGCCGCCGCCGCGCTCTTGCAGCGCTGCACGCGGATGGTTCGTCCTGCGAGCGTCGTCTCGTGCCGCGCGAGCGCAGCCTCGACGCCAACCTTGTCTGCGAAGGTGACGTAGCCGAAGCCCTTGCCCTGCTGCGTCTGCGGGTCGCGGATCAGGCGGACCGCCTCGACGGAGCCGAGGGAAGAGAATGCCTCCCACACGGCCTCCTCCTGCAGGTCGAAGGGGAGGTTGCCGAGGAAGACGCTCCGCTTGTGCGTCGTCGCTCCCGTCGCGCCGACCCCTCCCTCCGCACCCGCCGCGCCGCTCGTCGCGCCGCCCGACGGCGGCGCCGCCCGGTCTACGCGCAGGTGGCGGCCAAAGGCGAGCTGGGCGTTGGTGGCGACGGCCGCCTCGACGGGCGCGGCGTCGGCAAAGACGACGTAGGCGTTGACCGCGTCGCGCACCGCCGTGTTGACCGCCTTCTTGATGACCGCCGCGCGCTGCTCCAGCTTGAGGTTTGCAGACGCGACCGAGCGGATGCGGACCGACTCGACGCGGCCAAAGGCTCCAAAGTGCTTCGCGACCGCCTTGCGCGACGTGTCCGGAGGCAGGTTGCCGACGAAGACGGTCCTCGCCAGCCGATCCGGATCGTCGCCCGCCCGCTCCGCAGCTTCCGCGCCCGCCTCTTCGCTCTTCTTCGGCGCCTTTTGCGCCGCACGCGATGCCGCAGATGGCGGCGCCGGCGCAGGCGCCGGCGCGGCGGCGTTGCGGGCGCGAAGGAGCGCCTTGCTGGCGGCCATTGGGTCTGACTTCACTCCGAGCATCGCGGCAGCCGCGGCTGCCGTCCGCGCCGCCGCCGCCGCCTCGACTGCTGCAGGCGACTTGCTGCGCCGGCGTTTGCGAGATGGTGACGCCGGCTTTGAGGTGTCGCCCGACGTTGAGTTGTCCGCAAAGAGGTTCGCCACGGCCTCGTTGGGGGCGCTGGAGCTGGAGTGCAGGGTCGCCAGGATGGACATGGGGAGTAGCTACGAGGCTGATCCAGGCGTAACGCCAGCACAGCGAGGCGCCCACGTACGAGACGACAGAGCCGCGTCGACTGCCGGAGGAATAAGAATTTTACGTCGCGCACGGGAGAGCCGTCCTCCCATCCCTCCCTTGGGTTGTCCGTTTTCTTTCTTTTCTTTCTTTTTCGGGATGCGCCGGGGAGGCGTTGTTGGAGGCTAGGACGCAAGCGTCCGTCGCCTTTTTCAAACTCGGGCCCCACTCCGCTACGCTCCGACCCGCCCGAATTTGGAGGGCCATGCATGAAGTTTAAGGTGTTGCTGCGCAAAAGGGGCGGGGCGCGGGCGTGTGCGGCAGGCCGAGAGCTCTTTTTGGAGATCAGACCCCTTTCGATGGTTCATGTTTTCTATGTCTATCTACCTACGAGCGATGCATTTCAACCCGTCCGCTCCCTCCCGCCGCTTTCCCTTTCGCCCTCCGCCCTCGCCCTCCGCCCTTGCCCTGGCCGGCCTGGGGTCGAGGCCTGGGGGCATCTCTTCATCATCACACGCCAAGAGGGAGGGAAGTGGACGGGGCACAGACCCTCCCACCATTTTTTTGTGTATGTAGCTCTTACGAACATACCCGAGGGTGAACTGCTGACAGGGTTTGCGATGAGGAGCGATCCGAACGCGGCATTCGGGTGATTAGATCACTACCGCCGTAACGCAAGAGCACTGCGACGGATCGGGCTCATGCTAGCATCCACCTCGCGGGCCGACGTTCTGGCCCAGCGAGGCTGCTGCGGATTTTGCCGCATATCTCTTAAGTGGCGGCCAGAAGATCCGCCCTGGGATCTTCGGCGCAGGGCGCCGTCACCGGCCCCATGAGCCCCCTACGAGGCCATTCAGTGCTCATGTGGCACGACCTGAGCAGGCCTAGCAATGCCTCGGGCCGAGCGGCGCCCAGAATTGTTGGTGCTGGCCAGCAACGTGGCCGGCGAGTGCCGTCGTTGCATTGGTGGCGACCACCGCTGAAGCGGTCAGCAGGTGGGAAGGCATCGCTCTCTTTGTGAGGGTATTGTACGTATTCATTGTCTGGTCAATACTTCTGCCTCACACGACACACGCCAATAGATCCAGCATCGATACTTGACTATTGCGAGTCCCGCGCTTTTAGGATCAATGCCGACCAACCTCGTGATGAGCTATTCCGTGACGGCGAGCAAGAACGGCGCAACCTCACGGCGCTTCCTGCTGTACCTTAGCATCATCTCGTCCTGTTTCTTCCTCGTCGCCGACTACATCCTCTCACTGACGCCCATAATGGTGACGGCAGCTGCATTGATCTGGGTGGGCATCGCCATGTGCTGGGACATGCTGTGGCATGGCCGCCGCCGTTTGCCGAGGGGAGATTACCTCGTCATCTGGCTGATGGTTCTCGTGGACGTCGCCAAGGGTCCAGATCTGATGCTGCTTGTTGGCCTCGCCGTCACCTCGATGCAGCTAGCCTTTCGGCTCTCTGCGATCCGTGTGTTTGACGCGGAGCACACGAGTCGCACGGAGCGAAGCTCAACACTAAACGCGCTGGGGAGGGATGCAGTGCTGGAGGCCGACGGCGAGAAGGTTTTGATCCTGCACCTCGCGCGCGGCCCCAACTCCTGCGACCCCGGCATGGAGGACCGAGCGAGGCCTCGCTGAGACTTTCCCGTGAATAGGCCTCCTCTTCTTCGGCACGGCCTTCCAGATCCAGGAGAGGGTGGAACAGCGCCTGTCGCAGGCGCCGCAGGCGGGCGCGGCGGCCCGCCTGGAGTTTCTCGTCCTTGATCTGACGGAGGTCGAAGACTCTGAAATAAGTGGGATCAAGGTCTTGCACTTCATCGTCCACGAGCTGGCAGAGTCGCACGGATTTGGTGTCGCCTTTGTTGGCTTGCAGGAGAAGGTCAGGAGGCGGATACGTCGATTTTTCGAAGGGGAGGAGATGACCTTTACCTTCGCGAACATGAACGAGGCGCTGCGATTTGTCGAGAAGCACTTGTTTGTGCAGTTCCTCGCCGCGCATGGCGGCGATTGCGCGCATCTGCAGGGCACGGCACGGAATCGCGATCTCACGAGCCTGAGGGCACTGGTCCGGCGCGTGGTCGGTGACTCATGCTTCGCTCCCGTCGCGGACGACGTGCACAGCTGGTTGCACAATTACACGGGTGAGTACGACGCGGAACAGGTGCTGCCACGGCTGATGCAGGCGCTGGAGTGCCAACAGCTGAGGCGCGGCGACGACGTGTTCGTCACAACCGCACCCAATCGCCCTCTCATCAACGCCGACTTGGTGTCGCGGGCGCCCCTGGTCTGGGTGCTGGCGGGGCGTGTCGACTTGATCTCGAGTGCCAACAGCTGGCGCAGGAACATGAGCCAGCACGTTCCCGAGGTTGCTGGCGCAGGTCAAAGGCAGCTAAACCAGCCAGGCTCGGAGGTCCTGCAGATTGCCGAGGTGGAGCATTCCACGGATGTAGCTTGTGCGGGCCCACTCGACAGCTGCTCCCATTTCTTCGGTGCCTTCCAAGTGCCACCCGTGCGAGCACGGGTGGTGTCCGAACGGGCGACGGTGGCAGTGCTATCCTACGCCGCCTTTGCCGAATTGCCGATCGGCGTGCAGAGGATGCTGCAGCATTACACCACGAAGAAGATGTACTCTGCGAACGCGTTTGTAAATACCAGGTGAGATGTACACGCGCTATAAAAGGATAAAGCCGTATGGCGACGGCCCCCGCCGCCCCCCCCCCGCCACCGCCCTGGCCTAGGAGCTCTAGACTCTGCCAGCTGCCCTCCGCTCTCCTCCCTCTCACTCCTCTCGCCGCTCTCACTCCGCTAGAATCTCCTATCAGGGCTACAGACCCTCGAAAGCCTCGATGGTCAGCCGGGTCTGGCTGCGCATGCCCGCTACCTTGTGAGGGTAGAGCGGCTCCGCGCGGACGGCGTTGTTCAGCCGCCAAGTGTCGGCGGCGGCGGCGGCGGCGACGGCGTTCCACGTGGCCGCCAGAGCGAGCAGCGCGCCGGCGGCGGGCGCGACGTCGGAGTACTGCTTGGCGGCGTAGAGGGCGGAGAGGCAGACGAGGGCCGAGCCGGGCACCGCGGCGCCGACCCTCCCCTCTGCGGCCTGCGCGGTGCGGAGCGTGTCCTCGAGGCAGAGGTGGAGGGCGAGCCAGAGGAGCACCTGCGGGGCGGTGTCGTGGACGCGTCGTGGACGTGTCGTGGACGTGTCCTCTTCGAGGCGAGAGGCGGAGGCGGTCGAGCGGAGGGCGGCGGCACGGGGTCGTGTGATGTCCCTCGCAAGACTCTCGGGTCTCCTTGGGGTGCTCTCGGGTCCTCTGGGGTGCTGTCGGGGGGCCTCGCACCGGGTCGTTGAAGTGGCCCTCGTTGAGCCGTCCCGTGGAGGAAGAGTAGACGAGACACGACGCCTGCGCGCGACGGGCGGCGGAGAGGGGCCGCTCGGCCAGCGTGCCGCCGGGGCGGCGAGCCTCAGCGAGCGGTGTGAGGCGACCAGCGCGTGCAGCGGCGCGATGGCGGCCGCCCGCGCGAGGGAGAGTGAGTCTGCGGCGGAACAGGGTGCGGGCGGGGCGAGGTGAGGTGTGCGGGGCAGAGGCGAGGGGCCGAGCCGGGTGTTGGGAGGGAGCGGAGGGAGCTGAGGCACGCGTTGGGGCGGAGGCGGAAAAGGGAGGGGAGGCAGAGAGGAGAAGAGGCGGAGAGTCGGAGAGAGGTGGGGAGGAGGCGGAGGAGGCGGAGGAGGCGAGAGAGAGGAGGCGCGGGCGCCTTCAGAGGGCGCCCAAGAGGGCGTGATGGCGGCGGCGGCGGCTGCGGCTTGCCGGGCTCGCGACTCAAAGTAGAGCCGGAGTCGCGCCTGTAGCATCTCCGCCTGCAGAGGGGCGGCGCTGCGGCGGTCCGGTGCGAGTGTCGTGGGGAGGGGCGCGAGGTTGGCTGCAATTCTGCCGGCATCGTGCGGTCGACGGAGAGGCCGCGCGCCTGTCCGTTGCGAGGCGGCGAGTGAGGCGTGGGCGGAGAGAGAGCGCGCGCTGAAACACACATACACACACACACACACACACACACAGGGAGAGAGAGAGAGAGAGAGAGAGAGAGAGAGAGAGAGAGAGAGAGAGAGAGAGAGAGAGAGAGAGAGAGAGAGGAACGGCAGGGCGGAAGAGGGTCGCCACCTCACACTCTGCCCGCAGCTCCGTCTTCTTCATCGGCTTGCCGCCGCCGCCGTCCGGCCGGAGGGCAGCCTCGAGCGCCTCGTCCTCGGCCGCCGTCGCCGTGACGCGCTCCTCTGGCGCCGAGTCGTCGAGCGAGCTGAAGACGCGCGAGCGCAGGCTGATCGCGAGGAAGACCCCGCCCGCCGCCGGCGCCGGGAGAGGGCCGAGCGGCGAGGCGTAGCCCGCTGAGTCGAGGACGCCAAAGGCGAACGTTAGCGCGATCAGCTGCATCAGCACCGCGAAGAAGTACCGCCCCAGAGCGCCGAGGTCCAGCTGCTGGCCCGCGTCGTCGGCCGCGGCGAGCGCCATGCAGCAGGGTGAGGAGCGGCCGGCGGAAGCACGCTGCCTCGACGGGAGGGCAACGTCGACGCCGCGCGGGACGGCGACGAGCCGCCGCGTGGCGAGGGGTAGGGGCTGCGTGGGTACCGCAGACTGCAGCCCGTGCACGGAGGCGAGGGCGGTGCACGCGAGGAGCAAGAGCACTTTCATTGCTGGGGGCCGCAGAAGGAAAGAACCACGCAAATTGCCATAAAAAAGCGAGTAAACGTACGACAAAAAACCCTTAGCACAAATTTCTTCTTTCGTAATGAATGCACCGAGAGGTGCGGCGTCGGTGCGCATGCGGCTCGGCTTGGCTTTGCTGTGCTGCGCGCTCGCTGAGCGCGCCTGCGGTCTGGCGTCGCTGCAGCCGCCGCGGCTGAGCCGCCGCGCGCGCCGTGCCGCCGCGCCGCTGCTCCGCGAGGTCAACGTCGCGGACCTGCCGCTGCGGCCGCCGATGGCGCCGGCGACGCTCGTGGAGCATGAGCCGGAGGCGGCGGCGGCGGCGGCGGCGGTGGGGCCGGCGGTGATTGAGGAGGGCGACGACGACGAGGAGGAGGCCGGCTTCGAGGAGGCGAGCGTGGTCGTGCTCGACGAGACGGAGGACGAGCGGAGAGCGAGAGTCAAGGCTGAGATGGACGCGGCGGTCATCGGCGACGCCAACTCCAAGGTTGTGATGGAGCGGCTCAAGGGGCAGGAGGACGACGACGGCGGCCTGGCGGCCCTGCTCGGCTCCTTCCTCGTCTTCCTCGACCCGACCGGCACCGTGCGGCGGCGGCTGTGGACGCGCGCCGACTTCATGCACATCCACGCGGTGAGCGGGGCGTACTTTCTGTTCCTCGGGATCCCGTGGCTGGTCTACTCGCACGTGACCAACGCGCTCGACACCTCCGTCCCGATGGCCACCTCGGGCCCCTTCCTCACCTCTCTCCTCGTGGCCGGCCTGGTGAATGCGCTGTCTGCGGTGCCTATGTCAAAGTTCAACTCGAACAAGATGCTCGACATGCGCGACCTAAAGGCGAACGGGTTCACGTTCGGCGGGACCGGCCTGACCACCATGTGCCTCTACATCGCCTGGTGGTTCAGCGGCGACTACCCCGACTTCCTGCGCCCCTTCGATATTCCTATCTTCCTGCGCCCGCCGACAGATGCGGACAGAACCCCCCCCCCCGACCGAATCCGCAGCGCCGTTTCTGCACTCCGTTGCACCGCCCGCGGCTCTAGCCGCCGCGCCCGGCCGCCCCTGCACTCGCACGGTCCTCCGGTCCCACCCCGCTCTCCTCCTCTCCCAGGGGCTGGGCCGCCGTGTGTGCGGGCTGTGAAGAGCGTCTCTTCACACCTCTAGCTGTGAACAGGTTCTGGGCCCTCGTGTGCGCGGGCACGACGGCAAACTGGGAGGTCGCCCCTCGCCCCCACCCCCTCACCCTCACCCTCACCCTCACAATTCGCAGCCGCCCTGACCCCGCCCCCGCCCCCTGCCGCCCTGCCCCTGCAGGTGATGCTGCAGCAGAACTTCCAGGCTAACGAGCGGAGGAGGGTCAAGGTCCCCGAGAAGGAGATGCGCCAAAAGGCCATCCTCTACCGGCTCGCCTCGTGGCCGAACCTGACGCGCCCTCCTCCCCCCCCCTCGCCGCGGCCTGGCTGGCGGCGCAGTCCCGCCTGACTCCCTCCAACACACGTGTCGCCTAGGCAGCTCTCCTTCATGTACTCGATCCCGTTCGGGGGCGCCGCCTCGCTGGGGCAGGGCCCTGTGCTGCGTGCGTTTCTTTCCCCCCGATGTGTGTTTCTTTTTGTCTAGGCGCCGCCTGGCTGCAGCAGTGCACGGCGCAGTGGCCGATGCAGAGCACGCCCATGTACCACTACGGCATCGCCTCGGCGATGGGGTACGCGCTCTCGATGTTTTCAGAGACGCTGCGCGACCGCAAGCTCGTCACGCTCGAGCAGGACTTGCTCGTCCTCATCGTCGGCTTCACCTTCCCGATGGTGTCGGTGCTGCTCGACGGGCTCACGTACGGATCGGCAGTCACGATCAGCCCGCCAGAGTACTGGGCCCTGTTTGGCTTTGGCCACCTCGGGTGAGCTATCTGCTGTGAGAAACCTTCTTGCGACTCTATCTGATGGCGAGTTTTGGGGCTCACGTCGTGTGGGGCATAGCTCTATGGTGTGCGTCTCTGCGCGGGCCTCGCTTAGGCGCTCTCTCTAGATACAAACGCGCGCGCCATGTATCTTACCCGCTTTTCGGGCAAACCAATATGCAATAACCATCGAGCTGCATTGTCGATTTTTACTTGACGGGCGCATGGTTGCATCATGGCATGGAGGCATCACATCTCCATGCGCCCGCGGGGTCAAGTCGGACACGGAGCCAGTCAGCGCGGGTAGGGAGTAGGGTCGGCCTCCACAGGACCGCAGGACCCTCTCAAAAGTATAGAATATAGAAAAGAAAATAGCTTTCCGGCTCGAAAAGGGACGCACGAGGCAAATCTGATGTTGGAGAGTTCCAGTAGGAGCGAGGCCTCTTCCGTTGGGGGACCGAGTGAATAGGAAACGAGAATTTCCCATTGTGTCCCCCTCGCGCGCGAGCGTGACACTGCACTTGGCGCCGAGCGGCCGCGGCTCAGACCTTGTGCAGGCCTACCCTCATATTGGTCACGCCGGTCCGGACCGATGGCGCTCGGTGTGGAGCAAGCAAGACCCCCCCCCTCCCCATCGGCGCGCGCCCGACCTTTGAACGACCGCCAGGAGCACCAAGAGGACTCCTCATGGCTGCTTCCAAGTGGGCTTCGACCGGCCTCGGCTGGGGGGGCGGGTTGTCCCGGTTGCGGACGCCTTCTGCAGCCGCCTGCGCCCGTGACAGCACCCCAAAACTGCCCCCTCGGCGGCATACAGCACCTGCCACCCAGCCTCTTCCTCCTCCTCAAGGGCTGTACTATAGGCCATATTGCGCCGCCTCCTACTGGCAGCCGGGCGGGCGCGCGCCGCGGGCGCCTCGGCGCGCGCACGGCTCGCAAAGTTCGAACGAGTGCTGCCGCCCGGCCGCCTCAAGGCTGCCGGACGGCAGTACTCGCCTCGCAAGGCGCGCACCGGCTGCTCTGGCTGCTGCGCCGGCTCGCCGGCTTCTAGAGAGAGGCTGCTGCTAAAGAGATCGCATCGCCTGTTCGCCTCTGCTCATCGCTCAGCGCACTGACTGATCGCGAGCGCGGAGGCGCGAGTTGCGCAGCGAACAATTCGGGGGTTGTTCGAGGGGTGCTATGAGTGCTATGTGGGGGCCTGGGGGAGGAAGGTAAGGTAAAAACGTCTATCCACACACACACGAGGTGGGACAGGAGGGGGGTGGGGGGGTGGGGGGGTGTAGAGCGCTGCCAGGGTAGTTGGTCACAGCGCCACAGCGGCAGCGCAGTGCAGTGACGGGGGGGGGAGGGGGCTTAGGAGCGGGCGCCGCGCGCCGGGCGGCGATTGGCCTGTGTGAGGGCGTGAAGAGGGGAAAAGCCGCCCTGCTTTTCTTTTTTACTATGTAAAGGCAGGCTTCGCAGAGGGGGAATCTGTACTCTCTTCTGTACTTTGAGGACGGGTACTTACAATATATAACGTCCCCAAAGTAGGGACTGGGGCTGCCGCGCCCACCTGCATCTCGGGGCACGGGTGGCAGCAGCGGATCGGGGCACACCTCAAATGACGTGTGACTTCTGGGGTTTGGCGATGCCGCCTACTACCAGAGCAACTAGATAGAGGCCGACGATTGGCGGTGGGGCTCCTCTCAGGGGACAGGGCTCCTCGGCACAAGGCGCGCCCCGGGGGCGATACTGACTTGGACTTGCGACACTGCAATGAAGTTGCAGGTTATAGACCAATGTTGTGCGACAGAAAAGAAATCTGTTTTTAGTCCTCGATTTGACAGGAAATCTGACAGAAAAGAATCTGTAGGGGCCGGGCAATGTACATGCCCGCAATGCCCGCCTCTCGCTCCCGCTCCAACGCACCGCTCCGCACGCCGCCGCCGCCGCTGTCTGCTGACAGCGCGCCGGGTGGTGAAGTCCCGAAGAACGTCCTCAAGGCCGCTACGGACGGCCGCGTGGGACCGGTGCGACTGTGGCTGAATGAAGGCGGGAAGGCCGACACTCTCGCTGAGCAACCCTCTGAGTTTCGCGGCCGTACGGTTCCATACACCCTGCTGATGCTCGCCGCACAGAACGGGCACGCGCAGATTGTCGAGCTCCTCCTGAAGCGTGGCGCACACATCAACCTGCAGAACAGTCTCGGCACCACTGCGCTGAGCGCTGCAGCCAACTGCGGCCGCGAGCGAATGGTGGAGATGCTGCTGCAGCACGGAGCGGAGGTAAACCCACAGGACTCCGCCGCCTGGCCGGCGCTGGCAACGGCTGCCCACGGCGGAAACGAGCGGGTGCTCGACCTGCTCCTGCGGCGTGGCGCGGAGATCGACCTGCAGAACAAGAACGGTGACACCGCACTGATTCTCGCCGCCTGCTTCAACCGCCCCGCCGTCGTGCTCCGCCTTCTGCGGGCGGGCGCAGACATGACGTTGCGCGATGCGGCGGGCAGGACGGCGCTGCAGTGGGCCAAGGCGAGGGGCCACGCCGAGTGCGTCCAGGCCTTCAAGACGTATATCGGGGAGGTGGCGACGGCGGGCCGGAGCAAGGCGCCGTCGGCTGAGGCTGGCGGCGCAGGCGCGGCGGTGGGTGCGAGTGCCGCGGCCTCTGCTTCGAGCGGCGAGGGCAGCGAGGAGGCCGAGCCGAGCGGCGGCGGTGCGGTGCCAAAGGAGGTTGTGGCAGCGGCTCGGCGAGGCGAGGAGGCGGCGGTGCTGATTTGGCTCGACGGCGGCGGGCGGGTCGATGCGACGTTCGTGCACGTCTTTTCGAACGGCCCTGAGAGCGGCATGACGCTGCTGATGCTCGCAATGATGAGGGTCCGGGAGGGGCTGGCCGAGGCGCTGCTCCAGCGCGGTGCGGATGTCTCGTTGCAGAACAGCAAAGGCAGCACCGCGCTGAGTTTCGCCGCCATTCATGGCCATGAGAAGCTGATCGAGTTGGCGTTGCGGCACGGCGCGGAGATCAATGTTCAGTGCCACTACGGCAACACTGCACTGATTTCTGCCGCTTTCTACGGCCACCTCGCCGCCCTCCTCTGCTTGCTGCGGGCGGGCGCAGACATGACGCTGTGCACCACGGATGGCTGGACCGCGCTGCAGCTGGCCAAGGAGCAGGGCCACACCGAGTGCGTGCGCACCCTCGCGGAGCATGCGGCGGCCGAGAAGGCGGCGGAGAAGGCGGCGGCGGAGGCGGCGTGGGCCGCGGGAGCGGCTGAGAGGGCGGCGCAGAGGGCGGCGGAGGAGAAGGAGGCGGCGCGGCACGCCGAGGAGCTGCTGGCGGAGGTCGAGGCGGAGAAGCGCGCCAAGGGCAAGAAGGGCAAGAAGAAGAAGAAGAAGGGCGGCGGGGCGGGCGGGGCTGCTGGGCCGTCGCAGGAGCCCGAGGAGGGTGCCCACGCGCCGTCGGAGGCAGACGCAGCCGAGGCGGCGAAGAAGGCCGAGGAGGCGAGGCTTCTCCTGCTTCTCGAGACGCTCACCGAGGAGAGGATGCGGCTCGGCATCACGCCGGAGAGCCAGGCGGCGGCGTCGGCAGAGGTGGCCGAGGCGGCGCGGCTGGCCGAGGAGGCGGAGGCGGCGGAGGAGGAGGCGGAGGCGGAGGACGAGGCTGCCGCAGAGGAGGAAGCGGTGACTGAGGCGGCGGCGGCGGCAGCGGCAGCGGCGGCGGCGGCGGCAGCGGCCGAAGCGGCGGCGGCCGAGGCGAAACTGGCCGCTGCCAAGGAGAGGCGCGCGGCCACTGCCGCTGCGAGGGCCAAGGCGGCGGCCGCCAGGATGGCGGTGGAGGCGGCTCAGCGCGCATGAGAGTGCGTACGCAACGCCAACGGGCATGCAGCAACAGTGAGCACAGAGTACCACGGGGGAGTGGAGGGGGGGGGGGGGGGTGCCCACTTCTTCCCGCGTGGCTTTTATCTTTATGAAAAGCGCGAGAGCGAGCGCCGACGGCCCAAATTATGAGCAGCAGCCCGCCTGGTCATGGGCCACTTGCCTACGTGCCCCCCCCCCCCCCCCGTCCAGTATTGACTATTGTTGCTCTCCGACGCCGCCGTGCCGAGCGAAACCTTTTCCTTCGAAGCTCAGCGACGTACGTAGCCGGGCGAGCGGAATAGGGCAGCCCTAGAGAGCAGCCATTCAATAGAGCCCGTGGTATAGTCGAGAGTCGATCGCCGGGGGCCGGCGCAGTGCTGCTCTGACCGCTCCGCCGGGCCGCCTCCGGGCGGGCCGCCGCCGCGGAGACGTGCACATAGGCAAGTTGGTATTTTCATATATGAACTTCAAAATACCATTGGCTAGTCTAATCCTACTCATCACAACTCGCCCCAGAAACACCCCCACACTATACTCTATAGGGTCATTGTGTAGCCCTGCTTAGAAGGAAAAGGTTTTCTGCAAGGTCCGTATGGCTCACCGTGTAGTCGGCCAAGCAAGAGAGACCCATGACCATCCCATGACTACATGGACCACACTCACATGTCTTTGCATGTAATTTTGTTACACCCTCATGGGGCACAAGAAAGAGGCTCTACGGGGTCTGTGTACGGTCTGTGCTGCTGTCGGGCTGTCAGCGCTGCTGTCAGACCACTGTGTGCTGTCGGGCTGTCGGGCAGCTGTCAGGCTGTCACGTTAGGGCCTGACAGCGACGGGACCCCTCGACTGTCAGACTCTGCTGTCAGACTGTCAGATACGTGCTGTCAGACTGTCGGAGAAAGTGCTGTCAGCGCTGTCGGGCTGTCGGGCACTGAACCACTGTCAGGCGCTGTCCGGGGTTTTGCTGTCAGGCTGTCAGACCAGGGCTCAGAGTCTTTGTTAGTATCGAGGTCTCGTGAGTTTTGGCACTGAGCGCCCGCCCTCTTTCTGGCCGCGTCCCTCCCCTGTCCTCTCAACTGCATTCCTCTTTTTTACATACATAAATATAACCAAAATATCCTCGGTCCCTCGGACCTCGCACGACCGCGTCGACCCGCGCCACCCCCACGCTCCACCCCCCCGCACCACCGGCCCCGCCGCGCGCCGGCACCCGGCACCCCCCGCACCCCCCGGGCCCTTACTGGGAGTCTCTCTACATGTATGCTTCTCCTCAGTAACAAATAACGTAAGGAAATCTCATTGTTTGTACACTAAGCGCCCATCCATGACCGGCGTCACCTGCAACGCCTCGGGCGCTCCCCCCGAGGCCGCCGAGTCTGCTGACGCCGCCGCCTCCTCTGCGGCGGTCAGTCTCCGCTCGAGCTTCGCGAAAAACGTCCCCACCCTCCTCTCGGAGCCTCCCTTCGGCTTGCCCCCGTTGACAAGCTCGATGATCTCGCCCTCGATAGACGCAACCGGCAATCCGTCGGCAGCATAGCTCGTCACGACGATGCGGCCAGCGTAGGTGAAAGTGCCTGCCGCACCGCGGCGCAGCTTCCAGAGGCCCTTGCGCTCGATCGCCCCGCCGACGCGGCCGGCCGGGCTGCGGCCAAACCCGTCCGCCTGAGGTCAGGGTCCGGCAGGTCACCACCTCTCCACAAGCCAGTCGAGGCGGGTCCCTCGGGGGGGGGGGCGGGGGGGGGAAGGCAAGGGGCCGACTTATCCCCTCGCCTCCCCGTCCTGCAGCCAACGCAAGAGAGCCCAGGCGTTTGCAAGTGCACAAGCGCGCCTTGATGATCCACGGCCCTAGGAAGTGTCTAGGAAGTGTCTAGGAAGTGTCTAAGTGCCTTGATGATCCACGGCCCCCGCCCGCTTCCCGCCTCGCCCGAGTACGCCACCGCGCCGCGCTCCGCGCTCTCCGCGCCGCGGAAGAGGAGCGTGCCTGCAGGAAGGTTCCGAGAAAGGTCCGGGAAGGCGCCGCGCTCTCTCCGCGCCGCGCGAGGAGGAGGCTGCCGCTCGTCCTCCGCCCTACGCACAGCCAGAGGTGTGAGGGGACGCGGGGCCGCGGCTTGAGGAGCGGAGAGGCGCAGCGCACGCGCCGCTGCCGCTGAAGCTCTCCTCAAGCCGCCACGCCCCTTTCATTGTCTGGATAGTGATCGCGTCCGACACTTGCTGCTGATATGAGGTGACGGGCGGAGGCGGGTTATAGAGCTGCTGCTGCTCGAACGCGACGTCCGACCGACGCGCAACCTCGAGAGCGTAGGCTGGCGGCGGCGTGGCGAGCGCGGGGAGCAGCGCAACAAGCGTGCTGCGCAGGTGGCGCCTGCGCGACGGCTGACTGCCGCGGCCGCCGCGGCCGCCGCCGCGCCGGCCGCGCGCGGCGCCTGTGGGCCGCGTGCCGCGGACGCGTCGTGGACGTGTCACGAGCCTCGACCGCAACGGTCGACCTCGGTCAATCTCGGCCAATCTCGGTCCACTCGGTCCATCTCGGTCCATCGGGCAGTCTCGGGCGAGACGAACCTCGCCCGCGGTGGCCGCCTCCGCTCGTCGCGGCTTCCGTGCCCCCCTCCCCCTCCCGCCGCTGCCTCCTCCGCGCGCGCCTGCCCTCCCCCTCCACGCTGTGGCCTCGCCTCCCGTCGCGCCCCGTGAGCGCCTGCTCCAGACGGGGCGACTGACCGCCACCAGCACCAGCCGAGAGAATGCGGCTGAGCGACACGATTCGGTGCTGAGAGCAAGGAGTGCGCATTCATTGCTACGGCCCGCCGCCTGCTTGAAGACGACCGACACGCGCGCCCCCGCGTTGGCGCCCCCCTGCGCCGCGAGAACCTATGCGAGGCAAAGCCGAGCCGCAGTGCCGGGGGGGGGCGGCGAGGCAGCCAAGGGGGGCGCCCCTTCCGCAGGGGTGCCGAGTGCTCGTACGCGTCGTTGCAGTGCCTCTCCATCGTCACCACGTCGCCCGAGAAGAGCGGGAGCACATGC